ACATAGCTAAGTATTTTAAGCCAAATGAGTGCATTTTTAGTCATTTTTGAGAAACTTTTTTTTCCGGAGATTTCTTCAGGTTTTTAGTGGTAGAGTATGTTACTGTGATCAAAAGTTGGCGTTCCAAAAAAGTATATTTTTTCTGAATTTTAACAACAGAAATGGACATAGCTAAGTATTTTAAGGCAAATGAGTGCATTTTTAGTCATTTTTGAGAAACTTTTTTTTCCGGAGATTTCTTCAGGATCTTAGTGGTATAGGATTTCACTGTGATCAAAAGTTGACTTTCCAAAAAAGTATATTTTTTCTTAATTTTAACAACAGAAATGGACATAGCTAAGTATTTTAAGGCAAATGAGTGCATTTTTAGTCATTTTTGAGAAACTTTTTTTTCCGGAGATTTCTTCAGGATCTTAGTGGTATAGGATTTCACTATAATCAAAAGTTGACTTTCCAAAAAAGTATATTTTTTCTTAATTTTAACAACAGAAATGGACATAGCTAAGTATTTTAAGGCAAATGAGTGCATTTTTAGTCATTTTTGAGAAACTTTTTTTTCTGAGATTTGTTCGGGAACTTATTGGTACTTATTAGTATTTTACTCATATCAACAACTTTTTTCTTTTTCTTCAGTATGTAAAAGTTAGATGTTGAAAGACTTATTTTCTGCATAAGTCTGTTGAACAGTGAGACAAATACTTTTACACACCTGAATTATTCATTTATTTTTTTGATTTGAGAATATTTTTTAAGAACATTTTATTCTACACATTCACAGTAAAAGAGTTTCTGGTGTAGTATATCCTACATAATTCAGTTTTTGTGACCTGGATTTGAGTCATTCTTGGGCGACACGGTGGTTTGCAGCTTGGCGTTGTGTTTATAGGATCAGGGTTTAAATCCTGCCCTGCCCATGTTGTGTTAAGCAAGCACCAGTAATTTGTTCCCCCAGACGCCGCCCAGACCACACTCCTCCCCAGGTGTTAGGGTTAAATGCAGAGGCAAATGTGATGTGTATGTACATGGGTCTGTATTTGTACAATGACAAAGTTGATTATTGAGCTTCTGTGAGAAGAATAAAATATGTTAATAATGTAAATTCAGATCAGTTGAAGAGTCTGAAAAAATTAGTGTTTTTCACCCTCTTTTGTTAGTTGTTGGGTGTTTTGCTCTCTCTCTCTCTCTCTCTCTCAAGTAAATGCTGCCTGTTATCTCATCATCATTTCTTGCTCGTTATCACAGCGTCTGTATTTATAACAAACTTTCCGGAAAGTAACAGCATCTCAGTTTCTTTTAGAAAAAAAACACAAACCAGAATAATTAAATTTCATAAATGCTTTAGTAGTAGAATCTGAGAGTGGATTTTTTTTAATTAAAGATTACCTTGTTTTTTTAAATCAATGAGTAACTTTCCAAACCATTTACTGTGACAGAGCTGCGAAAGGAAGAGGAGGAGGATCGGACGGATGCTCCACCTTCGTCATCATCATCATCATCATCATCCTTCCCTACTGTTTCTTCACATCCGTACTATGACGTGGCACGGCACGGCATCATCCAGGTCGCAGGTCAGCTGGCTGCCATGTTATTGACGTTTATAGTAATATGCACTTTTATTCATATATATTTTCCTAAAATACATATGCACACATTTTCTAGTTACACATGATTTTCCCTGTTTATGAATAATTTAACAAATTTTTTTGTAAATGGTCGTTACTGTTTTTGGCAAGTAAAAATAAATAAATAATTGAGGTCTCTTTTCGACTCACAATGAGGAAAACTCACACACACTGCCACAGGGGGCACCATCATGTATGTGACTTGAAACCAGGACCTTCCGTACGTAAAGCAGATGTGTAAGGCAGGCGTCGCAACCACTACGCTGTGGAACTACGCTGTTGCCATCAAACTGCCCTGTGTCATAACACAGTTTGTCCTCTAGGTGACGATAACTACGGCAGGAAGTTGATCATCTTCAGCAGCTGCTGTTTGCCTCCGTCACACCAGTTAAACCACCAGCGTCTGCTCCAGTAGGTCTCACTCTCTCGTCACCTGGAATCAATCGTCTCCTAAACTTCATCAAAAACAGATGATGGTTTTTTTCCCCGCAGGTACTTGAAGTACACACTGGACCAGTACGTGGAAATGGACTACATTCTCATCTACTTCCACTACGGTCTGAGGAGCAGCAACAAGCCGTCACTCAAGTGGCTACAGAAAGCTTACGGCGAGTTTGACAGGAAGTAGGTCACTAAACCACATGGGGGCGCTCTGACACACCAGCTGACAACCTCTTTACATTCTTCTTCTAAATCACTTTCTCAGCACACGATTTGATGAGAACCTTTTATTTTTTCAGATACAAGAAAAACCTGAAGACTCTCTACGTGGTTCATCCTACAAACTTCATCAAAATCGTCTGCAACATTTTCAAACCACTGATCAGGTTAAGAAAGAAAAAAAAAAATCCAACCTCCTCCAAACTCTGCTGCTTCACAGACCCCGTCAGTCATGTGACCTCAACCGTCTCTTTCAGTCACAAGTTTGGAAAAAAGCTGAAGAACGTGAACTTCCTGGATGAGCTGCGAGAACACGTGAACTTCGAGCAGCTGATCATCCCCTCCGACGTGCTCAGGTGATCAGTCGCACCATGATGGTCTTCGCCTGGTCGTCCAACGTACAAACACGTTGTTTCGTTTTTCTTCTCAGGCACGATGAG